AAGTAATTGTCTAAGATTTCTACAATTTTACATAGTACTTCCCTTCACCACCTGTGGACCCACCGGGGCTCCACACCCAGCCTGTTCCAGGCACTGGGGGTGTTAGCAGTACAAAGGTGGCCTGGTCCCTTCCCTGGGGCACAGGGGCCAGGCAGGAAATGTGAAGAGAGACCACCGAGTGTGCATTGCCCCTGTCCATCTAGAGGGAGCAGTAGTAGCCATGTGGCTCTGGCAGGTCACTGGCACCTGTGGGAATTTTTATGGGAAATCACTAAGACACTGACAACTGCATCAAAAGTTTAAGGGTCCTGAGCTGCCCACTCAGACAGATGGTAGTGGCTGTCTCCCCTGAAGCCCTCCTCAGGGCAGGTCTGGAGCGGGGGTGGGGGGCCGTGCCCTGGCCCTTTAGTGCTATTTCAGGTCATTCTCAGCTGTATCACTCCTCTGCCTCTGTGTCCCATGTGCCCTCCACCCGCCCGCCTCACCCCTCATTCCTGCTTGATGGTGCTCCCACTCTCTCCATCATCAGTCCGGTCCTAATTAACCCACTGAGCTCTCAATGTACCTCTCAATGTAAGCGTCCTTCCCACCTCCCAGCTCTGCTTCCTCCTTGTCCCATGATTCTGGTACAAGACTGTCATTACCATGGACATAACAGACCTCGTTACTGGTCATTACTGCTAACAGCAGCGGTCCTGTCATCTCCATCCTAAGCCTCCTACCACTGACGAGTATCTACCTGTCTAGCTCCCTCCAGTACCTGGGGGCCTGCACACTTGTTGTCGGTGGTCCCTCCCTTGTACACACCCCCTCCTTGAGACAAACACAGCCCTGGTTATCTCCAGCTCCCACCCAGGCAGCTCCACCAGCCACCTGGTCTCACTGGCCATCGAGCCCAGCCACTCCGCCCACACTCCATTTTGAACCTGCTCCTCTCCCCCCTCAGCCCTACCCCTCCTCCAGGCTGATGACTTGGTTTCCTCACATGGGGACAAGAGAAGCTCCCATGAGAGAAACGTCTCCTGGTTCCCAGGGGGCGTCCATATTCCCCTCTGGCCCATGTAGGGCTGCCACCTCCCCTCTAATAGAGGCGGTGCCTCTCCGGGCGCCACCGTGGGCGCCAGGCCCGAGGTTCTCCTGCATCAGCCCATGCCCTGGGGCGGTTCCCTCCCCCTGGACTGGCCCAGGAGCCGCTGGCATCTAGCTGTCATGAGCTGCCGAGTCTGCAGAACCAGAAGGAAACCTCCCCGTCCTGCTCCATCCTCTGCGTCTGAGCCCATCATCGCAGCCACTGGGTCAGTCCGTCTCGTCGAGGGCCTTCCCCTTTTTCGCTGTCCCTCTACTTCACCAAGCATGATTTCTTCTCCAGGGACTGGTCCCTCCTGACAGCATGTCTAAAGTATGAGAGACAAAGTGTCACCATCCTCGCTTCTAAGGAGCCTTCTGGCTGGACTGCTTCCAAGACGATTTGTTCCTTCCTCTGGCAGTCTGTGGTATTTTCAGTATTTGCCAACACCCCAATTCAAAGGCATCCGTTCTTAAGCCTTCCTCACTCTGTCTAGCCTCCACAGGCATATGAGGCAGCTGAAAGCACCATGGTCGGGATTAGGTGTACGTACCTCAGTCTTCAAAGCGACAGCTTCTTAACACTTTAAAGAGGTGTCTTTTGCAGCAGATTTGCCCAGTTCAATATGTTGTTTTATTTCTCGACAACTGTTTCCATGGGACTTGATTGTAGACCCAAGTAGGATGAAATCCTTGACAATGACAGTAGCCCAGAAACCTGCTATCTTCTTCTCCATCTTAAAGAAACAACCCGACCTCGACTGTGCTGCCTTCAGCTGCCACCCCGCCCTCTGCGCCACTCTGCAGGAGAGCGCACAGCTGCCGAGAGTGGGCTCTCCCTCTGCCTCCAAGACGTCCCTTCCCATTATCTCGGCCGACCCTCCCCACCAGTGGCCCAGGATGCGGCCTCCATCGGCCAACCCCCAGACTGAGGATCGAGGAGCATCCCACCCCACACATCACCCATGCGGCGGCCGGCACACACCCCTCCCTTGTTTCCAGCCCACCTCACCGCCAGTTCCTCCTCAGTCTTCCTCCTCCTCTTGCCTCTACTCAAGGTTCGAGCCCAGGCCTCCATCCTCTCCTCTCCTCTGACTCTCCCCTCCCTTGGTACTTGCCTCCGGGCTCACAGGCCCGCGTATACTGAAAGGCTGACCATTCCATGGTCATAGATGCCGCCTAGGTCTTTCCCTGCTGGAAACCCCCACCTGGAGGGCTAACAGGCACCTCTAATCTTACACGGCCCAAGCTGGGCTCCCCATCAGCCCCAGCCCAACACTCCATCTCCGTGAAGGGTGACTCTGTCTTCAGGTTGCACGGGCCAACTCCTTGGGGCCACCCTTGACTCAGCTCTTCCTAGGCGGTCAGTCAGTAAATCCTGACGACTTGCTCCACCTTCACAATCACTCCAGCTCCTTCTCAGCACTTGCATCTCCCTGGCCCAGGTCACCATCTTCTCTTGCTTGGATTATTACGAAAGCCTCCCCTCTGGCCTTCCCCTTCTGCTTCCGCCCGTTACAGACAGGTCTCGACACAGCGGCCCTGGTGACTTGCTGGGCAAATCTGACCAAGTCCCCTCTGCTCTCAGCTCTCTAGCACTTCCACTCAGAGTAAATACCACAGTCCTTACCCAGGCCTTCGAGGCCCTGCCCAGGCTGCCTGTCCCCCTCAACTCTGGCCCCATCTCCACGGTCCTCCTCGCACCACCTCCTCTCCGGCCTCACTAGCCCAGGCCAGGGCTTGCCTGCAGGCCCTTTGCACTGGCTGTTCCCTTTACCTGGGGCTCTCTTCCCACAGAATTTGCTCGGGTCACCAGTATCCCTTTCGAGTTTTCGCTCAAATGTTGCTTCTCACCAAGGCTGACCCTGACCCTGACCACCGCAGTGAAGTCCCACGGCCAGTCCTCTGGCTTCTCCTGTTTCCACACACGCCCCTTCCCCCAAACATGCATCTTCTAGAGCACTGGGTCGTTTGCTTATTTGTTGATGACCCGTCTCCCCCACCCTACTAGTACAGAAGCATCACAAGGACACGGCTTTTTAGTTCTGTGGTCACTTGATGAAGGAGTCCTGTTGGCGCAGTGGCTAAGTGCTTGGCTGTTAACCAAAAGGCCAGTGGTTCAAACCCACCAGCTGTTCCACAGGAAAAAGATATGGCAGTCTGCTTCCATAAAGATTTACAGCCTTGGAAACCTTATAGGTTCCTATAGGGTCGCTGTGAGCTGGACTCGAGTTGATGGCAATAGGTTTTTTATTTTTGGTCACTGACGTACCCCCAGCAACTGGAACAACACGTTATTGTTAGGTGCTCCTGAGCTGACTCCAAGTCACAGTGACCCTATGAACAACAGGACAAAACGCTGCCTGGTCTTGCGCCAGCCTCCCAGTCCTTGCTGTGCTTGAGCCCATCGTTGCAGCCACTGTGTCAGTCCATCCCGCCGAGGGCCTTCCCTGTTTTCGCTGACGCTCCACTTTACCAAGCATGACATCCTTCTCCAGGGACCAGTCCCTTCCGACAACACGAACAAGTTGGTGAGACAAAGTCTGGACATTCTCACTTCTGAGGAGCATTCTGTTGGTGGGTTCTCTGGCTGCCCACAGCATTGTCAGTTCACCCGTGGAACAGGTGGCCCTCGACGGAGGAGGAAGAGAACGCCAAGGGGTCTGGCGGACGGGCGGGTGCATGTTGTCTTGTTAGTTACCTTTGAGCTGATTCTCGCTCATGGTGAGTCCACGTGCATCAGAATAGAACTGCTCTATAGGGTTTCAAAACTGTGACCTTTCAGAAACAGACAGTCAGGACTGTCTCTCCAGATGCCTCTGGGTGGGTTTGAACCGCCAACCTGCTGGTGGTCGAATGCTTAACCGTTTGTACCACCCAGGGTCTCAGGCACACGGGAATTACTCACCCAGCAGAGGAAGGGCACGCTGAAGGAGCCCAAGGGAAGAGTAGGAAGAGCTAGGTTGGGTGTTGTAAATAGTTGAGAGCAAAAAATAACAGCTTGAGAAAGCTCTGGAATTCAGCCTGATGGGACAGCATGCATGGGAGAGGGAGGGGACAGGGCTGCCCACGCCCTCTCGCTCTGAAGAAAATGGGGGCAATTTAAGCTCCAGTGGGCAAGTGACAGAGCCTGGTTTGTGTTCTGAGAGGTCTCTGTGAGTGTCCCAGGTGCCGAGGCCTGTGCCAGGCATCGGATAGATGGAGATGTAAAGAGAAATGGCCACTGCCCCCCAGCGTCCCCATCCTTCCATCCGGGCTGGGCTTGAGTGGGGGAAAAGGCCAGTTGACAGCGTGGGCTGGAGGGCAGCTTTTTCCAGCAACTTCTCCACACCCCCCACAAAGCACATAGCCGAGGGCAGGGCATAGCCTGGCGAGAGCACCAAGCAGCTTTCCAGCCCAGCTTCCTACCAAAGGAACCACTAAGCAAGTATGATCTTAGGCAAGTCACTTCCCCTTTCTCGCTCTCTGCCTGTTCCTCAGTGATTTCTGTCCTGGTCCTACAAAAACAGCTACATTTTTTTTTCCCAAGCATCTTGTATGTACCACCGCTATGATAAAAACCAAAAGACCAAACCCACTACCATCGAATCGACTCAGACTCATAGCGATCCCATTGGGTTTCCAAGGCTGTAAACCTTTACGGAAGCAGTCTGCCTTATCTTCCTCCCGCAGACCTGCTGCTGGGTTTGAAACGCCACCCTTCTGGTTAACAGCCATATGCCTTACCCACTACACCACCAGAGCTCCTTCCTATGATAAAGTGCTTCCTCTATGTTGCTGCCAATCACCCCAACAACGGTGGTGATTCATTGTTCTGTTTACAGAGGCGGAAACTGAGGCTCAGACTGGTCATGGACTCACCTAAAGCCAGTGAGTGTGGATGTGGGTGAGGCACAGAGAGCTACTGGACAGGTGATGGTGTTAGGAGCACCTACCTCCATGGTGGCTGCTGCTGCTGGTCGGCTGTGTCTGTTTATGAATGGCATCCCCCAGGGGGCCTGGGGCTGTGCTGTGGCGGCTGCTGGGGCCCGAGGGCCGGTCCCCTTCGGTGCTGGGGCCCAGGCCCCTATCTGCAGGGCTAGAGTCTTCCCGGTCACTCTGCTCAAACTCTGGGATCTGGAACATACTCTGGGCTGTGCAGGCAAGACGCGGGGTGGTTAGGGTACAGCTGGAACAAACGGAGACCTGCTGGGGTGGGTACAGGCATCTCTGGCTCCCTCTCTGGCCCCGGAGCCCCCAGGCCCTCCCTGCCTCCCAGACTCATCTGTTTGCTGAGGCTGGCTCTGTCAGGCGCTCAGCCTGTCCACCTGGGACCTAAATCTCCCCTCGGAGCACTGGTGCTGTGGTACAACCCCAGATCCCCACCCAGGCCCCCACCCAGGCCGTCCCTCCTGGGTGACGCTACACAGGTCTCACCCCAAGCCCGATCTCGAGGCCCCTGACCCGGGCCTGCCGCCTCCCTCCAGCTCTGAGAGCGCCCTGCCCTAGTTGCTTGGGCAACGGGAACTGTCACCCGCCTGGCCCAATCAGCTCGTGAAATGTCACTCGGGTAGGCCCCGCCCCCGCCGCCCAACCTGCGGCTCGCGGGCCGCCCTCCTCCGACGTTCCTGCCTAGTCTCCGGATGCTCCGCTCCCGACATCCTCACGCCTTGAGCGTGTGTAGGAGCCCGCGAGGGACTCCGTGGGGTCCCCCTATTTGGAGCCTGGAGACCTGCTTCTAATGACAAGCGTTTCAGCCCCTCTGGGCCTTAGTTTCCACTCCTATAAAATGGGGCTAATGACACCTCCCTCGGGAACCAGTGAAAACTTTGTAAACAGACTGCTGATTACTGCAGGTGAAAGCACTTTGCAAAGCCGCAACTGACGTTCAGAAGTCGGATGCAATTCCTGTTGCTGTTGTTACAGTTCCATCTGGACTGGTGACCGGGTCAGGAAATCCCGCTCCCTCTTCCTCTTCAGCGTGGAAACCGCGCGGTCGGCTGCAAGGCGCCAATCCCCGCGCCATCTCGGGAGCTCCCGAGATAAGAAACGGAGCCTCCGCCCAGGCAGGATGACTGTCCGGGCGCAGGAGAAGGCACAGGGGCCCTTGGAAGGTGACCCATAGGCCTCGCAGGGGCTTCGCGCCTGGCAGGCGGCGTGTAGGCGGCCGGCCAGGTGAGCGGGAACCGCGGCGGCGGGCCAGCGCGTGTGGCGAGCTGCCCTGCGGGAGCGCCGGGGCCCTGCGGGTTAAGGCCCGGGAGGCGGGCCCGGAGGCCATGTTGGCTATGGGCGGAAGTTTCCCTTCAGAGACGAAATGAGAGGAAGTCGTTGCCGCCCCCGACAGGGTGGCACAATCCCGATTTGGGGCTGGGGGATGGGAAAGAATGGAAGCTGGTGCCCCTCGAAACCATCAAGGGCTAGTGGCCCAGGCCAAAGCCCACCCGAGCGCCAGCCGGATGCGGCGCGGCCCGCGGGTCTCCGCCATCGGCCGCCCCCCGTAACCCGCTGCGTTCGCTGGCGGCGCACCTCGCGCCAATTCTCGAACGGCCTCACGCCGGGCGCGGCGAAGGGCTACTGAGCCGGGGCCGGCCCCTGCGGAATTTGCGTAGCGCACGGCGTCCGCGCAGGCGCAGGAGGGGCGGAGCAGCGGGAGCCGGGGAGCCGGAGCCCCGGGTCCCGGCGACCGGAGCCGGCTCCCCCAGCGGCGGTCTGAGGACCAGGCGGCAGCTTCCTCCCGCCCCCCTGCAGCTGCAGCGGGGACACGGTGGGGGGTAGAGTGAGGAGAGCGTTCGGAATCCCCAGGAGAGAAGGCAGAGGCATTTCCCATTCGGATTATTGGAGGGGAAAGAGGGGCCCCCAGGCTGGGGAGGGGGAGAGCGGGGCGTTGGGGCGCCCCCTGCAGGGGCCGCTGCCCCGAGCGGACGGGCATCGGCCGGCTCTCCCCCTCCTGCCGACACCCAACACCCGCAAGAGCGAGCGACCAAGGCCGGGGACCCCCCTTCTTCAGCCTCTGCACCCATCCACCTGGCTCTAGGGGCGGCCCAGGGAGCATACCCCCGTCTACCCTGGAGAGGAGAGTCTGTCCTACGCTCCTGAGTGAGTGGTCCAGGGCCCGGGCTGCCCGTGCCGGGCAAGGACGAGGATCCCTCTGGTGAGGGGAAGGGCCTGGCCGGCCACAACTTCTTGCCCCCTGAGGTCCCCTTCCCCTCCCCTCCGTATTTATTTCCCTGGCCCCGGGGCCAGCCCCTCCATCTCTGTCTCCTCCGGGATTCAGGCCGCCCTGATATGGAGAGTAACCTGTCTGGCCTGGTGCCTGCTGCTGGGCTGGTACCTGCACTGCCTCCGGCTGTGACCCTGGGGCTGACGGCGGCCTACACCACCCTGTATGCCCTGCTCTTCTTCTCCGTCTATGCCCAGCTCTGGCTGGTGCTTCTGTATGGGCACAAGCGACTCAGCTACCAGACCGTGTTCCTGGCACTCTGTTTGCTCTGGGCTGCGCTGCGTACCACGCTGTTCTCCTTCTATTTCCGAGACACCCCCCGAGCCAACCGCCTGGGGCCCCTGCCCTTCTGGCTTCTCTACTGCTGCCCTGTTTGCCTGCAGTTCTTCACGCTAACGCTTATGAACCTCTACTTTGCCCAGGTAACCGTGGGAACGGGGAGAGATGGCTGGGGGGGTGGTCACAGGCCCCAAGGGCTGTGAACAGCAATGGGCATCTGTGCTCCCAGGTGGTGTTCAAGGCCAAGGCGAAACGTCGGCCGGAGATGAGTCGAGGCTTGTGAGTACTCGAGGCCTTGGTGGGCTCTGTCCCCAGGCCAGGGGTAGGGAGCAACTTTGTGTCCTTCCTGTCCTGCCTGGGAGGGCTTCAGTGAGGACAAGCAGGGGATCTTTGTGAAAGAGCTTGTCGTTGGTTGCTGTCTAGTCAGTCCCTCAGGAGCTCTGGTGGCTTAGTGCCTAAGGCATCTGACTGCTAACCAGAAGGCTGGTGGTTCAGACCCACCAGCCACTCCTCGGAAGGAAGATTGGGAAATCCACTATCCGTAGTGATACCGCCTTGGAAACCCAAGGAGGGGTTGCTATGAGTCGGATCCTACTCAAAGGCAGTGAGTTTGGTTTTTTGAGTCAGTCCCTGACTCATGGAGACCCCATGCCCAATGGAAGGAAATGGGACCTGGTCCTGTGCTCTACCCGTACCCCTAACCCTTGGGCATACAGAAGGCGCCTAGCACAGGTGCACATGAAAGGCATTGATAACAGGAGCAGTCGTGAAACCGCGAGGGGGGAGGGTCCCAATGCCATGCATGATGGAGCATGCTCCAACATTGCACCCCTGGGTGACCAGGGGCTCTGGTCCCCTGCCCTGTGTGTCATGTCTTACAGTTTACAAAGCGCTTTTGCAAACGTCTTTAATCTTTATAACTGGTCTGTGAGGTTGGTCTTGTTCCCCATTTGAGAGATGAAGAAACTGAGGCCCGGCAAGGTGAAGGAACATGTTCAAGGTCACGGAGCCAGCAGGAGGGACAGCTGGGACTCAGACGCAGATTTCTGACTCCCAATCTCAGGCTCTCGCCACTGTACCACAGCTGTCAGTCACCTCCCGAGTTCTTTGGGCCTCAGTTTCCCCATCTATATACAGGAGGAGCAGGGGTCAGGCTGGGAGCCCTGGGGTCCTGATTGGCTCTGGGGGCGCCTTGGAGAGGCTGGGTGAGCAGTGAGCAGTGAGCAGTGAGCACCGAGGGTGACCTTCTGTGCTAACTGTGCTGTGGGGTCGCAGGCTGGCTGTCCGAGGGGCCTTTGTAGGGGCCTCGCTGCTCTTTCTGCTGGTGAACGTGCTGTGTGCCGCATTGTCCCGCCGGCGCCGGGCACAGCCCTGGGCCCTCCTGCTGGTGCGCATCCTGGTGAGCGACTCCCTCTTCGTCATCTGCGCGCTCTCTCTCGCTGCCTGCCTCTGCCTCGTCGCCCGGCGGGCCCCCTCCACCAGCATCTACTTGGAGGCCAAGGTAGGGCCACAGGCTCTGATGCCCAGGTGTTTTCTGGGGTCTCTGGGCATCAGTCTTCAGAGACTGGAAGCTGTCCCTCTCTGAGGGTCTCCTGCTGTCATCTGTGCCAGGGGACCAGCGTGTGCCAGGCAGCTGCAATGGGTGGCGCCATGGTCCTGCTCTATGCCAGCCGGGCCTGCTACAACCTAGCGGCTCTGGCCTTGGCCCCCCGGAGCCGGCTGGACGCCTTTGATTATGACTGGTACAACGTCTCTGACCAGGTGGGCATCCGACAAGTCTGCTGCCTCCTTACAGGCATGGCTTCCGGCCCTCAGCTGGCAGGAGCCCTGTTGGCATGATGGCACCGTGGCCTGAGCCCCCTGCCTTCCCACAGGCAGACCTGGTGAATGACTTGGGGAACAAAGGCTACCTAGTGTTCGGCCTCATCCTTTTCGTATGGGAGCTGCTGCCTACCACCCTGCTAGTGGGCTTTTTCCGGGTGCACCGGCCCCCACAGGACCTGGTGAGGGCCTCTGCACTCCTCTGCAGGCCTAGTGCAGAGGAGTGGATGCCAGGAACCCCTGGGCTGGGCCGGGGGTGTGGTGTGGGAGGCCGAGAGGAAGCACTGAAGGTGTCTTCCTTCCCAGAGCACCAGCCGCATCCTCAACGGGCAGGTTTTTGGTTCCCGATCCTACTTCTTCGACCGAGCCGGGCACTGTGAGGACGAGGGCTGCTCCTGGGAGCACGGCTGCGGTGAGAGCACCAGGTAGGAGTCCCTCCCCTGCTTCAGGCATCCTGAGCTGTGGGGATTCAGAGCTGGGTCCTGCTGCCCTCCAAGGCCTTTGGTTCCCTGTTTGCCTGAGGGGAGGCCCCTCCTCCCTGTCTGCCGCAGCTCTGTAACTGGCCAGAGTCTGGAGGGCTCGGGGCCTGGCCCTGGGGGTCTGGGGCAGGGGATCTCCTCCCAGCGTGGTCCGATCTAAGCCGGCTTCCTTCCCCCACCTCTTGTAGCGTGGTCCCGGTCACTGCCCTGGAACTGACCTCGTTTCTCTGCCTACAGCATGTCAGGCAGCCTAGGCTCTGGCAGCTGGTACGGCGCCATCGGGCGCGAGCCGGGCTGGTGCGGGGGCAGCCAGACACGGACCACTCCTCTGCTCTTCTCCCAGATGCCGGGACCTGGCGACCACCACCACAGCCTCTACTCTACCCCACAGACGTGATCCCTCCTCTACTCCCTTAGGATGCCCAGACCCCAGTCCCCCTCGCCCCAGGCCCCTGTGCCAGGTTCATCTGCCGCTTCTTGCCCAGGATCTGGGGGGCTGTGGCCGCCTCCTCCCCTGGCTGGCTCCTTGGCTGCTCCTGTCCTAGTGAGCTTGTGCCACCCCCCTAGGGTGGGGGACATGGCCCTGGCTGCCAGATGCCCACAGCACTCTGGCATGACCTGCCACCTCTGCTTCTACACCGGAGCCAGCTACCTCTCCTGCACCTGCCACTCAATAAACAGTGTGCCCTGTGTCCGTTCTTCTGTCTGTCAGCCGTCTGTCTGCTTTATGCTGCTCTCTCATCTCTGCCCGTTTGGTCAGCTTCCCACCTTGACCAAAGGCTGGTCAGAAACTGGGCCTTGGAGTGGGCTGCTGGCTGGGCTGGGGCCATTTACAGCCACTGAAGTGGGTGGGTGGGGAGAGGGGCAGGCTGGGTGAGGGGGAAGGGCCTTGTTCTCCAAGTTCGCTCGGCCCAGAATAACCCCGTTCACATCGCAGTCCCCTCCCACCTGACCAATTGCACTTTCCTCAAGAACTGCTTTGAACGTCTCGTCACCTCCTTTATGAAGCCTTCCATTGCCCATTCAAGGGACAGCAGCCCCTCTCCTGGGCCCCATGTCCCTGTGATTATGTGGTTATCATGCCTCTTGGCCCCCTGTCAGGTGGGATTTTTGGAGGCCCTGTTGCCCTGTCACCACCCTCGGCCTGGCTTTCAGGTGCCACAGGTTAGCTCAGGGCCTGTAGAGGTGTTAACATGGCTACTGAGCAGCGCCAGCCTCTACCAGGGTGAGGGTTTGGCCAGGTGGCTGGGGTACCCTTACCCCCTGGGAGCCTTTCTTCTCCCTGTGGCCTCATCCTGACAGATGTGCCCTACTGCCGGGGCCCATTCTCAGGGTGTCCTGCCTACCTTCCTGGCCGCCCCGGCTCTTTCCAGCCCTAGAACCCCCAAGCTTGCCTGGCAACCCTTCACCTGGGACTGTTCTGCCACCAGGCCTGAGGGCAATGGGGACTGGCAGAGAAGCACTTGTGCAAATGGCAACTGCTAAGGTTTTCAGGGCACTTTATGGTGTTTTGAGCATTTACAGACTTGGACCTGTAATATTCAGGACAGTCCCTGACGTGTTCATTCCTGATTCTGCAGAAGCAGAAGGAGAGGTTCTGGAGGTTGGTGACCCGATCTGTCTAGGCTCCCTACTGGTACGGGGTGGTCACCCCTAAAGCCCAAACTTGAAGCACACAGCAAGAGGGCTGAGGTCTGGAAGTGGGTCTTTGAAGACATCCAGGTTAAGAGCTGGGAGGGGCGGCATTACAGGACCAGCAGGGGGCCCTGGCTGCAGGCAGTGGGAGCCTGGGCGCTGGCACCAGTCCATGATGGGACTGGCAGGCAGCTGCGGCCAGACCCCCGGGGTTAACGCCTGGCCATAGAGCTGAGCACTAAGGGCTGGGGACAGAGGACAGGGGATGCGGCAGCAGAGACTTCCCAGAGCTGGGGCCCAACCCCCACGCTAGCCAGTCCCACGTGGCCTCCACCCTTAGTCCCGCGGGGACCCCTCCCTTATGGGGCTATGCTTGACAGACTGCCGAGCCCCCAAACCGGGCTGTCCCCAGGGGGCAGGGAGATGCGGGCCCATCCTGATCCCGTAGTGGTTCTGGGAGAGGCCCAGAGATTAGCGTGGCGCAGGTCCGGAGAGGTGGGTAGGTGGATGTCCGGCCCGGGACCTGCCGGTTCCTGGGGCAGCACCAGGGCTCGGGTCCGAGACCCGAGGCCGGACCGTGCGGCGAGCTCTCTCCGACTCCTCTGTGATCCGCCGCCCCCGGCAGAGTGCAAGTGGGGGGCCGGCGGTCGCAGGTAAAGGGCTCCGGGGGCGGCGCCGGCGGCGAGGGCGCGGCACCGAGGGCGGCGTGGCGCGGGAGGGGTTAAGCCGGGAGGAGGGGGCTCCTGGCGGCGGGAGGGGGTCCCCGTCTCGGCTGCCGCCCGCTCCGCCTCTGCCGCCGCCGCCTCCGCGGCCCAGCCGGCACCGGGGAGCCATCGCGGGAGCCGGACCGCAGCCGCAGCCGCAGCGCGGCCGAGAGTGAGTGCGGGGCGGGCGAGCCGGGCTCGGGGCGCGGGCAGGGCGGGGCCCCTACCTCCGCGCTGGGCGCCGCGGAGAGTCGTGCCACGCGGCCAGTCACACTTGGAGGCGTCGGCGTGGGCGCGCGGGGAGGCGGTGGGAGCGCGGTGACGCGTGCCTGAGCGGGCGGGAGGGCGCTGCGCGGTGGCCTGCGGTGCGGTGTGTGCGCGCGGACCTCGGGGCACCTCCGCGCGGCGAGCAGCCCGTGGGGTCTGGGGTGGCCCCGGAGGTTTGCGGACGCGAGCAGGTGGAGGGCGTGCTGACGGCCCCGCGGCGCGCGGGCTGGAGCCGCAGGGCGGAGCGGGGGCGCGCTGAGCTTTGTGCCCGCCGGCGGCGGAGCGCGTCCCGCGCGTGTGCGCCTGGGCGCCGCCGCCCGCTAGCCCAGGGGCTGATGGCGTCCCCGGGCCGCTGCGCGGGTCCAAGCCTTCCCGCCTCTGCCGGCTCTTTCCGGGAACCCGTCGCCCTCCTCCTCTGCGCAGCGACGGCCCTCGCCCCTGGGTTCCTCGAATGCCCGGCGGGGCGCAGGGGGTGCTCGGCCTGGCGCAGCTCGCGCGGGCTGGGAGAGGAGGAAGAAGCGGCGAAGATGCTGCGGCTGCCGCAGCCAGAGAGCTGGGACCTGCCATCCCCGGTCCCGCCCTGCGCCGCCAGGCCTCTCCCGCCGCCTGGCCTTCGCGCGCCTCCGCGCCCCGTCTGCCTCCGCCTCCCTCGACGGCCCGGACTTGTTGGTTCTTTATGCCTCCTCTGTGCCTCCCGCATTTCCTCGCTTGTCCCGACCCCCCTCCGCACGCAGAGTCTGTTCTCCTTCCTTTCCCTCCCGGTGCCCCCTTCTCTTCTCACCTTCTGGAGTCCCTGGACAGGGTGAGGGCCGGGCAGTGGAGGAGGGGCGGGCCAACCCCGGTTGTGCAGTGAGTACTGGGTCGACCTGGCACCAAGCGTCCAGCCAGAGAAATGTGAGGGGTGGGGCATCCGTGGGCCGGAGGGCTGGGGGCTCCGAGGACCTTGGGGTGTCTAGGGGATGGAGGAAGAGAGGGTAGGGGTGGCAGGCCAGGCTATTGATCCCTGCACCCCTGGTTCTGCCCGCAGTGACCGCAGCTCCCCAGGAGCCCCCTGCCCGACCCCCCCAGGCGGGCAGTGGATCCGGCCTGGCTCCTGGCCGCGCCATGCGAAGCACCACGCTGCTGGCGCTGCTGGCGCTGGTTCTACTGTACTTGGTATCGGGGGCCCTGGTGTTCCGGGCCCTGGAACAGCCTCACGAGCAGCAGGCCCAGAGGGAGCTGGGGGAGGTCCGAGAGAAGTTCCTGAGGGCCCATCCATGCGTGAGCGACCAAGAGCTGGGGCACTTCATCAAGGTGCGTGGGTGGGTGAGACCCCGTTTGTTGGTCACCCGTGCCAGGGGGTCCCTGCTTCCAGACCAATGCCGCTGGGGACAGGAAGCAGCTGGGGTAGGGTGGGGTTGAGACTTTGGTCCAGGTCTCTGTGTTCTCAATATGGTGGCCATGGGTCATGTATTTTCCTTATGGTACCTGACAGTTGCCTTGGAATGTCTGTTTCAGTGTGTACTGGTGTTTGAATGAAGGAAGGAAGGAAGGAAGGAAGGATTGCTGTAGCAATAGGGTATTCCCATTTTCACAGGTCTGACTCATGGTTTAGGGTTAGGGCTGCAAGATCCAATGGAGACTGCATGCTCAATTTGAATTTCAGGTAAACAGGAGATACTTTCTTAGAATAAGTGTGTCCCAGGCAGTATTTTTATTTGCTAAGCCTGGCAACCCTACACTGGTTCCAGCACATTTTCAGAGCCACAGATGCCTCAGAGAAGCCCAAGGAGAACACTGTGACTACTCCCCTCCACCCCCAGGAAAGTGTGCATAAAAACATGTACAGATGATTCCAGAAGGTTCCAGAATCCCCGAAAGCCCACCCGTGCCGCCATGGACAGCAGGTTAAACACTCTTTTCAAGTTACACATGTGCTTACCATGGGGAGGTGGGAGACAGGGCAAGACAAGGATGGAGACAGTGTCAGGCTTCCCTGGGGCACCCCTGGTCAATCTCAGTACAGTGACTAAAGAAAGTTCTAGGCTTCAGCCTTCTGGGATACAGTCAGACAAGCATCTCTGTTGCTGCCTCTGATTTCCAAGTCAGTGTTACGCAGAAAAGGCGCTCTGATGCAGTGGATAGGCCATTTGGTTGCTAACCAGAAGATTAGCAGTTCAAAGCCACTAGCTGTTCTGTGGGAGGAAGATGGGGCAATCTACTTCCGTAAAGATTTACAGCCTTGGAAACCCAATGAGGGTCACTATAAGTCAGAATTGACTCAATGGCAGTGTCCTTTTAGTCCTGGTAGCACATTGGTTAAACCCTTGGCTGCTCTGTGAAAGGCTGGCAGTTCGAACCCACCATGAGAGAAAGGTGTGACCATCTGTTTCTGTAAAGATTGACAGCCTTGGAAACCCTATGGGGCAGTTCTACTCTATCCTATAGGGTCGCCGTGAGTCGGAATTGACGCAGTGGGAGTGGGGTTTGCTTTTGGTTTTGGTCACACGGACAAACCCTAAGATTTAACTTTAATAAATATTTCTTACTTCAGTTTAATTAAAATTGTTTCGTGGAGGGAGGGGCTGGTCATCATGGAGGCCCCAGAGTTCCAGCTCATTGTCAAGGTGGCAGGACCCTGCCTGAGATGGGGTGGGGTGGGGTCAGGCCACAGGCAGCTGGCACTGTTTCTGACACTTGGAGTGTGTGACTGAGGCCCACAGAGGCCTCAGCCAGAGAAAGTGTCTAGCCAGACCACAGGGCAGAGGGAGGAAGGAAATATGACCTATTTTATCTTCACTGACGGAATTGCTTTTTTTCCTGGATAAGAAAGAAAAAGGAAGGGTGGGGCAGGGCCTAGAAGAGTGTGTGTGTGTGTGTGTGTGTAGGGGGCAGTTGCTTGCTTTGTTTTCCACGATAACACGCACTCCCTGATTTACTCGATCATGTGGCAACTATGGACCTACTGTGTGCTGGGTGCTGTGCTCTGTGCCATATCAAGATGGAAAAAAATGCAGGCTGTACCCTGGAGGCTGTTACATGTAGGAGAGGGGACAGACCCACGGACAGACAGGTCACTGTAGGATGTCGTGGAAAGAAAGCCTGCCTTCTTTCCTTGTGTGTTGAGCACCTATTGCATGTCGGGCACCAGGCTGGGTGCTGGGCATCAGGAGGGAGGTCTGGGGGTGGGGGGCGACTCTGGAAGAGAAATGAGCCAGGTGAGAAGGGTGGAGTTTAGACATGTGTCACTGGGGACCAGAGACTCCCGGGGGGAGGAACAGCACGGCCCGCGTGGAGGCTGGACAGCTCCAAGTGTTTTTGCAGAACCTGGATTTAGCAGATGCCTAGTCATTTGAAAATAAAAATTAGAACACCCAGGATGACAAAGGATTTTTTTCCCCCTAAGTGGTACATTTATTGGAAAGGGTTTGCAAAATAAAAATTAAATCACTTTATCATACATTTCACTTTGTGGCTTTATTAAAAAATAGCATCTTATTACAGGAAATGGGATCGTTTCAGGGAATCTGGGGAGCAAGGTTGCCATAAGTTGGGGTCCCAAATGGGAGTCCCAATAGAGAAGATTGAGAAAAGGGGGATTGTGATCAGATTGAAAAAAAGGCTTGAATGCTGGGCTAGGGAGTTTGGACTGTGTTCTGTAGACAGCAGGGAGCCATGGCAGGTTCTGATCAGTGTCTTGCTGATGAAGACTACAGCTGTTGAGAATGGGAGGCTTATGATCCCTCCCACACACCATGTCTTTGTGCCTTGGCTCCATACTCTCTGGGGAAGGGGCCCTTGGGGCCCCCTCCTTGTTATTCTCTTCTTATTTCCTAGGGTAGGCACTCTCAAAACACAGACTCTTCCCACCCAAGATCTGCAGGCTGGCAGGGGAAGACGGCACATGGACATTCCATTCATTCAATAATGTTTATTGAGCACCTAGTGCTTGGCACAGGAGCTCTGGTAGCATAGTACCCAAGGCACCTGACTGCTAACCAGAAGGCTGGCGGTTCAAACCCACTAGCCACTCCTTGGAAGGAAGATGGGGCAATCTACTTCCGTAGTGATACTGCCTCGGAAACCCAAGGAGGGGTCGCTATGAGTCGGGTCCGACTCGACGGCACATAACAACAGTGCTTGGCACAGGGTTTGGCTTGGACTACAGTGGGGCGAGTGGTGTGTATCTCTGAACTTCCTCAAATCTGATGTTGTCTTTAAGAGGAGAGTAATCCTGGAAGAGAAGGTCCCAAACTTTCATTAATTCTCTAAAGCAAAAGACTCAAGCTCAGCTTTCTAACAGGGGCAATCAGCAGTGGTGGCTCTGGAAAGCTGGGAGTCACAGGGCGTGTCACCACAGTGAAACTGATTGATTTAACCAACACATACATCTTCCTCTGTTGGAAGTGCTTTATCTCTTCACAAGAACTCAGTGAGCTGGGTACCATGATCATCACCCATCTCCCTCAATAGATGCAGCAAGGGATGCAAAGAGAGTTAACTTGTCCAAGATCACTCAGTTAGAAAGTGAGGGCACCAAGATTTGAACCCAGGCAGTCTGGTCCCAGAGTCCATGCTCCTGACCTCTGTAAAACTGAAACTCTGCTGTGTGAAATTAGGGAGCAGATAACGCAAACATTTCTAAAACACTGGGGAGGTCAAACAGACTTGCCTGTAAGTGGACTGGATCACCTGATTTGCAGTGTCTGTTCTGAGGGCCTGCCCTCCAGGGGGCCAGGGGAAGGGGAGTGCTGGGAGGAACTGGAAGGAACCACCTTGGAGACTGGAGGGGCAGAAAGGAGAACTGAGGCTTCTCCTTCTGAACCCTGTCCTGCAGGAGGTGGCTGACGCCCTGGGAGGGGGTGCGGACCCTGAAACCAACTCAACCAGTAACAGCAGCCACTCAGTCTGGAACCTGGGCAGTGCCTTCTTCTTCTCTGGCACCATCATCACCACCATCGGTGCGGGAGGGGACGGCGCATGTGTAGGGGGAGTGGGGAGGGGTGGGTTTCCTCCAGGGAGGGAGAAGGTGCAGGGGCAGGTAGGGTGTGCCAGGCTGCTTCTAGACCTCCGGCTCGTCCCTCCGTCCAGGCTACGGCAACGCGGCCCTGCGCACTGACGCAGGGCGCCTCTTCTGCATCTTTTACGCGCTGGTGGGGATCCCACTGTTCGGGATCCTGCTGGCGGGGGTCGGGGACCGCCTGGGCTCCTCCCTGCGTCGCGGTATCGGCCACATCGAAGCCATCTTCTTGGTGAGCTGCTCCACACACCGGGTGCGCCCTTGCGCTGGCCTCCAGAGACCCTTCCCTACTTCTCTGGCATGTGAGCGCGCGCGCCCCTAACCGCCAGCGTCTGGCGCGCAGACTGGGGGGCGGGGCTGGTGGTGCTGGGCGTGGAGGAGGTGGGTGTGTCTTGTGGCTCCTGCCTACTGCCCCTCCCCCACAGAAGTGGCACGTGCCGCCGGAGCTGGTGCGGGTCCTGTCCGCCGTTCTCTTCCTGTTGATCGGCTGCCTGCTCTTTGTCCTCACGCCCGTGTTTGTGTTCTGCTACGTGGAGGGCTGGAGCAAGCTGGAGGCCGTCTACTTTGTCATAGTGACGCTCACCACAGTGGGTTTTGGCGACTACGTGGCCGGTGAGGATGCCCTTCCTGCTCTGCAAGGGCCCTCCTTCGCACCCATTGTATTCCTTCTAAAGGACTTTGCACCCTCACCCCTTCCTCCAAAGTCCACATGCCACACTGCTCCAGCACCTGCATCCGTTCCAGGTGTACCCTCACCTTCCTGCACTCAGGCAACACCTCGTGGCACTTACAGTCTCGCAGGCTGCACCCTGGGGAATGCTCACATAGCCATAAGTGCACCCCTCACGCAGGTCACATTCTTGCACACGTGCTCACTGTCACGTATGCTGCAATCACTGGCACACTCACATTCTTGCACATGAGCATCGCCTCTAACATCGGTATCTTGCACAGCCACTGATGCACACACTTCTTCACGCGTTCGTTCACACACTGGAGTGCATCATTGTTGCCCTGGGGAGGGCGGGTCCTCTCCAAGAGCTGAGGAGAGGGGCAGGGGATACAGCTGCTCCCAGGTTCAAAAAGTCAGCTGCTTTCTGGCCTCCCGGGTGGTCTCCAGGCGCCGACCCCAAGAAGGACACCCCAGCTTACCAGCCGCTGGTGTGGTTCTGGATCCTGTTTGGCCTGGCTTACTTTGCCTCCGTTCTCACCACCATCGGGAACTGGCTGCGCGTGGTGTCACGCCGCACCAGAGCCGAGGTAGGGACCCGGCTCAGTGCTGGCCTACAGGATAGCACCATGATCATGTCCCATCAGCTCACTGACCAGGCTGTCTCCCTTCTGGAGAGTGGGCTTTTGGAGGGAGGTAAACTTGGACAGGTTTTCAAGCCTCCACCACCAATGTTCCCTCATATAAGAGCTGCCAGATTTAGCAAATAGGAATGCAGGAAGCCCTTTTAAATGTGCATTTCAGGTAAATAATGAGTGGCATTTTAGGAGCTCTGGTAGTAAAGTGGTTAAGGCATTTGCCTGGTTATCGAAAGGTCAGCGGTTTGAACCTACTAGCAGCTCTGGAGGGAGAAAGCTAAGGCAGTCTGCTTCCCTAAAGATTTACAGCTTTGGAAACCCTATGGGGCAGTTCTACTCTGTCTTACAGGGTTGCTTTGAGTAGCAATCTACTAGATGGCAGTGGGTTTGGCTTATTTTAGTGTAAGTATGTTCCCAATTTTGCATGAGACATATTTATACTAAAATTTTATGTGTTGCTTGTCAGAAATTCACATTTAATTGGTCGTCCTGTATTTGGCAACCCTACTCTGAGAGCCGGTTGCAAGAGCCGACAAAGGCACAAAGGCCTTTGGGAACATGAGAGGGAGCGATGAAACAAAACTCGGGCTTTCTACAAAGTTCCGGGAGACGGGGGCGCTTAGGGTGCTGATGGGGGGGCGGGGAAGAGCGTGGGGGCCCGGGCCGATGGAGGAGGAGCAGGAGGAAGAGAGGGGCGGGGGCTGCATGGCGAAAAGTGAAGGCTCCGGAAGGGGAAGGCCCCCTGTGCTGGAAGCCGCCTTTCTCCTCCGTCCAGATGGGCGGCCTCACCGCGCAGGCGGCCAGCTGGACCGGCACCGTGACAGCGCGGGTGACCCAGAGAGCCGGGCCCACGGCGCCGCCGCCCCCCGAGAAGGCGCAGCCACTCCTGCCTCCTCCGCTGCTGGCCCCGGTGCAGCCTGCCGCCCCGCCCCGCCCCCCTACGCCCCCTGAGAAGGTCGAGCCGCCGTCCCCGCCCACGGCCTCCGCCCTGGACTACCCAAGCGAGAACCTGGCCTTCATCGACGAGTCCTCGGACACGCAGAGCGAGCGCGGCTGCGCGCTCCCTCGCGCAACCCGAGGCCGCCGCCGCGCCAACCCTGCCAGGAAGCCCGCACGGCCCCGGGGCCCCGCGCGCCTGCGGGACAAAAGCGAGCCCGCGTAGGGCAGGGTCCCGGGCGCCCCCCGCCCCAAGGGCTTTCTTCCCGCTCTCTTCCCCCGGCATGGCCAGCTTGCTTGACCAAAGAGCTCGCTCCTCAACGGGGCTGATACCCGGGGAGGAGGCCACGGGCTGCCTGTCCACCACCCATCTCCCTCTTCCAAATCCAATCCCCCCTTCCAAATCCAATTCCAGACCCCAAGGCTTTCTGTGTTGCGGCCCGCCGGGCCTGTCCCTCACCACACCTCACGACTGTGCCTCAAAACCTGAATCAATAAATGGACCTTACGCACCGCGGCGGGTGTGCGCGCTCCAGGGACAAGAGTGGGTGTGGGCGCGCTGGCGTCGGGCCGCCGCGCAACACTGCAGGCCCTGGGACCTTTAGGGTACCGTCCTCGGTCCTGGCCCGGCCCTTGCGGCTGTGCTCAGCCCCGAGTCTCTGCCTTTGGGGCTACTGGGTGAAAAAGAGATGACATCTAAACGTGGAGGGCTGTAGCCTGAGCCCTCCAAGCGCGAGACTCTCTCGGCCGTTTGGGAACGAGCCCCTGCCCCTCCCCCTTCCTGGAGCGTGACCCTTCCTCCTCGCCCGAGGCCTCTGGCGGCTGGTTCCGTTGGGGCTGAGCCATGGAAGAAAAGCCGTCTAACGTGAGCGCTTTTCCAAGGGCCCCCGCGGCTCCTTTTGCAAGCACCGGGCCTCTGGCCGACTCCCGGGCCCTGCACCCCGCCAGCCCCCGCCATCTCCCATGCCCGACGGAGCCCGCGCTCTGGCCTGGTTCGGGATTCTCTGCCCACAGCCGGATCTTACTCCCTGCCACCTTCGGCTCCCCTCGTTGTGTGTTACTCACAGGCATCGAGGAGGTCTTTGGTCCACCACGACTCCAACAAGTCGTTACTGCAGGGCGACATCCGGAACTTGTGGACCACAGCCACCCTATCGGAGTTGAACGTGAACCTGCCGCTGTCCCATGTCTCCGAGTGCTCGGACTTGGAAGGCCGCAGGTCATCCTACCTCAAGGGCAGCGTCGATACGGACAACGTCGACTGGGAGTGGGACGGCGGACTGCGCGAGTCTCTGCCGGGTGATGACAGCTCCCAGCAAGAGCTGGACGAGCGCACCTTGATGGAGTTGGAGCTGCACCGCAGTCACTCCCTGGGGAGCGTCCCAGAGGGAGGAGACGACGATGACTCCAGGATCAAGGCTGGTCAGTGGGCCTTCCCTGAGTTATGGCTCCAACTGGGCAGGGGGCTAGCCCGGGCCTTACCTCCCGTTGCTAAAAATGGAGGGTGGGGTGGAGGCTGATAGTCTGCAGTTTTCTAGAATTTCCTGGGAGGGGCGCCAGCGCCAATCAAGGCTTTAAATCAACCAGACATTTTTGGCGCGCCCCCTACCGGGCAGGCGTGATACCGGCGTTTGGGGGCGCAGCGTTCCAGGTGGAAACAACGCATGAAAATGCTGGAAGGCAGGGCTGTAGGACCTAAGCTGTTAATGGGATCGCTGGAGCAGTTTAGAGAGAGCCAAGTCTGTCTTCGGATTGTCCTGGTGTGAGACGTCTTTCAGTCAGTTCACTGGTTCTAGTTTTGGAGCGCCTATGTGCCAAGAACTGTGGGGAGTGGAACTTCTTCCCGCCTCCCTCCATCCCCTCCCCACCCCCCTCAAACACTTCATTAGGGAATTAGAAACGACAACAATGAGTGCCATTTATTGAGCGCTTGCTACCTGCCAGACACAGGGCTTCCCAATCACCATCACCTTTAAACTCCACAAGGAGGCACTGTTATCACCCCATTTTACAGATGAAGCTGTTTGAGGGCAGAAAGGTTGGGTTACTGACCTTAAGTCTCCTACTGGGGCAGTCACAGGGGGGAACTCAGGTGGGTGAGACTCTGAAAGACCCCGGCTGTCACCCCACCCCAGACTGTCTCCCACTAAGGTAGAACCAGGCAGCTGTCTCTGAAGGCCACCCAACCCCCACATCTCCTCTGCTCCAGGGAAGACCTGGGAGACTGCAGATGACTGACCCCTCCTGTTCTCTTCTCCTAGAAAGGTCTTCCTCGTCACTCAACGTCTTCAAGCAAACACCTCATCGAGCCTACTGGGCAGAGCAGCAGAACAGGGTTGGAGGGTCCCCAAGAGCCTGGGGGTTTTAGTGGGAGGGGAATGGGCAAGTCTGGGGGTGGTTTGCAGAGTGGAGGGGCAGGCAGGGTGGTTGGGGATTTTGAGGGAGCAGGTGGGACATTTTAGCCTCTTCCCGCCTCTTCTAGCTGCCACTGCCTCTGGTGGGACTCATGGAGAATGAAGTTCTAGAAATCCTCACCAAGACCCTTGAGAGTGAGTCACCCTCTTGCTTTTTCAAGAGATTCTGGGGGCCTATGGTGGTGCAGTGCCTAAGGCATTTGACTGCTAACCAGAAGGCTGGCGGTTCAAACCCACCAGCCACTCCTCAGAAGGAAGATGGAGCAATCTACTTCTGTGGCGATACTGCCTCGGAAACCCAAGGAAAGGGTTGCTATGAATCCACGGGACGGCAGTGAGTTTGGTTTTTTTTCTTGGTAGTTGTGGAGGTGGGGTTTTCCTTGCATGCCATGTCAGATGCCCTTGCCACCCACAAATATTCCAGGGGCCCCATAAGTAAAAAGTTAGGGATCAGTCGCCAGGAGATCTAGTGGGGTGACCACTGGGGCTCTGTCTCACTCTGAGGCTTTGTCTCACTTGCCCCATGGGGATGGGATTTTGTGTGGCTGTGGCCTCCTCTGGGGATGTTGTAAGGAGACTTTGGACAGCGATTATTTGGGTAAACCGATCCTGGGTTGCCCAGCTTATGGTCTGAATGCCCACTGGGGAGGAAGAGTTAGGTAATGGCTTAGAGTGGGTGGTCCGGGAGATGTCCACCGGGTTGTGGGCCATTACTGTCCTACCATCGTCTCTAACCTTACTCTCCACCTTAACACCCACCTCCTGCTACCCCACTTATCTGTTTGGAGCCCCGGCCTTAAGACTTGCCCATTTAAAACAAAACCAGCAGTGCCTCAGAGTCCTGGAGACCTAAAGTTTCTCCAAACAACACGGACCTGAGCGCCTAGCGCTCTTGCCACCCCAAATCCCCCATAGTTCCTCCAATCACACCTGCGGCGCCTGCTGGAGTGGAGACCATCTATCTCCCTGCTCGCAGCCCTGAATGGAGCCCTGCCCTCCTCCTAGGCTACCGGTCGGGGATCGGCCGCAACCACTTCCTGACCAAGCAGCTCCGGAGAAGCATCGAGGGGCTCAAGAAGCGCCGGAACAAGATGCTGCAAGTCTCAGTGAACTGAAAGCACCGCCGCAGGCTCGAGCGGCCGCCAGTCCCCGTCCCGTCCCCAGACCCAACCCCACCCCCGTCCGCGTGGAATCTGAGCCCCAGAGAAATAAAAGTCCATGCATGGTCCGTGAGTCAGTGCGTGGCTGCCCGCGTGAGGCGGACGCATGGGCCCCGCCCTTCCCCATGACCTTCACTCGGTCACCGCAGTGACCTTGAGGCTTCTCCGTCCGGGCCCTAGCGGCCTCGCCTTCTAGGGACTCGAAATCCAGGGCTTCTTGCATGTTTTAGGTCTGCTTCTTCCACCTCTAGTTCCGCACCCTTGTAGGGTATTGGGTCTGGGGTCCAGTGCCCTTATGGTATTACCTTGAGGAAAGGGGAAGAGCGAAAGGGGCAGCGTCTCCCCTCCTGTTCAAGCGTGCTCCGCTCCTCATGCATATGCAGATACGCAGGCTCTCTGCTCGTACCGCCCTCTCATTTACATATTAATATAGTCTACCTTCACTGCAGCCCCGGCCGCTGTGCGACCTCGCCCACTCCTCTGGCGTACAGCGCGCCCCGCCTCCTTCGTTACGTAACAGCGCCCTGGCCCCACCCCATCTCGGCTCTTAATCCTTGCGCAGCTCCGCGTCTGCACTGGCCCCGCCCCCCCGGCTTTGCCCGCTCACTGGCTTTGCCGGCTCCGCCCCGGCTCGTCCAGCCACGCAGGCGCTGCCCGCCCATTTGTCTGATTAGCATAGGGCGCCGGGCCCCGCCCCCTGCTTTGCATGCGCACGGCCGGCCCCGCCCCCGCTGTCAGCTGGAGGAAGCGGAGTAGGAAGCGGCCGCGATGTCCTTTTGTGTCCTACAA